GTTTGCCGTTTGCCGTTAAACGCCATGCTTAAAGTGCCTATTGATAAATATAATCTTTGCAAGCGCGAAGTCGTGGAAATAGAGTCGATAACAACGCATGTTTAGTCAGTACCAGGGGGTGACTAAATTTACGAAAACGTCAAAAAGTAGTTTTTCAGATTGGCACTGATTCAAAACACTCAAAAGAGATCTACAGCGTTTTTTAAGTGTATTCGCGCAGGTTTTTGTTTAAAACATAACACTGACTAAGAAATAAATATTAGTTGGCCCTGCACTCGGTACAGCGATGTCTGCAGACGAATGCCTGTCTGGGTGTCCTGTGCACGTTTAGCGTGATTGCGTGACAAACATGAGTGATGACACACGACTTCGTTGGTGAACATCGTTGTGCCATTTGGGGAGCCAAACGTTTCTTAACTGAAACTGTAAGCAATCAAAGCATCTTGGTTTATCTTGCAAAAAAGACTTTTGTGTATACTGGAGTTGTATGGAAGCAGAAATAAGTCAAGAGTTGTGATGGTCTGCGATTTGCACGAAATAGATCGGGCTATTTCTTCGCAGTAATTAAGAGCCCCAAATTAATTTTTATATCCTTGAAAAGAACATCGTTTCCAATTTTCAGAAATGCTCATCTCAAGTGATTCCGAGTTATACCGAGTAGGAAAAATTTTTATTGAAAAACTGCTCCAAAATGAAATTTTTAATCAATCAAATTTTGGCGATTTTCAAATATTCGCCAATAATTCATAGTTATGTCAATAATCCCGTTATTAGATTGAAATCATTTTTTAATACCTCGTATACAAATAGATAATATTCGGAAAGACTTGCTTTCTTTTGCGCTTTTGAAGAATAACGTTTTTGTTGCCCTACTCGTCGGCTTCATTTCGGCCACTGTTATGGCGGTTGGGGCTCGATACAGTGTTTGGTGATTTTCTAGAAAATAAAAACAGTTCTGAACAAAAAAATTATACCACGTTTATAGACTTACCCTAAGGTATCTTTGAGCGAAGTATGAAGGTAGGGCTTTTTCTAGGCATGTGCCACATTTTTTTTATTTCACGCGGTCTCCAGAAAAATTCTCTCTTAAGGCATTCCCAATGATTGCGCAGACTACTGATCACTTAATTGCATTTATTGTAAGTCGGCTAGCATTTTCAATATGGAAAATTTTTTTTCATTAAGATAACGTTTTTCCGCGTAGTTCATGAGATTTGAACTCGGAAGTCATCGGTTCCTTGATGACTTTCTTTGCAACCCAGCTGATTCCGGCAACCATCCAGTCAAGGTAGCTGAATCGGTCAATGTTTTAACAAGCTTATTATGAGAAATTTTATTTGGTAAACAGAAAAAAATCAATTAATTGACTTTACTCTTTACTCTACAGGAAGCCCTGAAAGGCCAGGCCGCGTAGCGATAAGCCTCA